TATCTATCTATCTATCTATCTATCTATCTATCTATCTATCTATCTATCTATCTGTGTTTTATTTTGAGATAAGATCTGGCCAAAGCTAGCCTGGTATTATGTGGCACAGGATGGCCTCCAATTTGAGATCCTTCTGCCTCACTCTCCCAAGTGCTGGGATGATGGGACAGTGCCACCATGCCTGCTTATAAAATGTTTAGTAGTAGCGGTGTCCTCCTGTTGGGTTGGCCTCACCTTACCTGAACATACCAAATAGTCCAACCTACCCTTTTACAAGTCCTGACCCCACGTGTGTTTTCTCTCCCTTTCTCCTGAGGATCCAACCCAAGGGCTCTCCCATTGAATTCTATGAAGGACATTGCTGTTTTCCTTGATTCTCAGATTATTAATACAGCTGAACTTTTGAAAATAAATAGTGGGGTTACTTAGTGGTAAACATGGGTCCCTATTGTTATCTCTGGGGGGACCCTCACACACACACCACTACAGGTGTGCTAAGTCTGGGTGTTCTTAGGTGGTGGCCAGACAATTAGCAAGCCTGGAGGTCATTAAAGGTGGCCCCGCCCTCTCACAATCAGCTTTGGAGCATACCTCCTGTTTTCCCACACTAGTTTTAAGAAAGGAGACAATGAGACAGTTACTCTTCTTAGAATTTTAAATACCCTGAGAAAAGAGAGAGGAAGCATCACAATTGTCCTGCCCAGAGATTTCAAATAACATGAGAAAGGGGAGAGGGAGTTAGTGGGCTTTGTGGAGGAGCATTAAGAAAAAGCCATTTCCTCCCGGGAAAATGTGGCTACTTTGTGGATTTAACTTTTTATTTTCCTTTCATTCTCTTTAGTTTGCTCTGTTAAGTGATTTCTGACCAAAAGAAAAGAATCTGGGTCCTCCACTGGCCCCCTGCGGAGACGTGACATTCTAAACCATCCAAATCTTTATCAGGTGACAAAGACAAACTTTTGTCTTTTACCTTAAGAGTTAACCCAACTGGACCACACTACTCTCAAAGAGCTGGGCCCTGAAGATGCTGGGAAAGAGGGAAGCAAGACTCTATCCCTGGAGGACCGTTTATCGTTTGTGCAGTCTAGAAGCTCTTTTTGCAGTTGCCCACAGGTCCTCCAGGACCAGCTTGTCTGCTGCTCTGAGTTCTAGCTAAAGCTTCACTTTTCTCTTCCCAAGCTCACGTATCCTGACACTCCTCTCTGACTAGCAGCATTCTTCCTGTCTCTGTCTCTCTCCTTACTTCTCCTCTCCCTCTCTTCTTTTCCCTCCCTCCCTTTTCCTCTCTTTTTCTTTCTCCCTCCTCACCCCTCCATTCCCCACATAGGTGCCTGAAAACTTACCTCTAGATTCAAGAATGTGGCTTTCTCTTTTCCTCTGAGCCATCTCCTTCTCAGAAATCTCCAGCCTGCCCTGGTTTTTCTCCCTAACTTTAATAAATGGTGCTGTTTCCTTCTCAGTTGGCTACATTGTTTTTTAACCTTTTGAGTCTACACTAGTTTGAGGGAGTCCTCAGTGACACCAGGGCAGTGCTGGCTTCCAGAACCCACCTCTGTTCCCCCAGCCTTCCCTCTTCCTTGTTCATTGGTGTCTGGCAGACACCACAGTCCTTATCAACCCTGAGCAGAAACAAGGGCCCGCAGTGGCTATTCACTTACCTGTTCATTTTGTAAGTAATAGGGTTGTTTAAAGATTTGTATTATTTATCATGTACGTGTGTGTGGAGATATACACATGTGTGTGCAGGTGTCTGCTGAGGCCAACCTGTAGCCAGACTTACAGGGAGTTGTCGATTCTGACATGGGTGCTGGGAAGCAAACTCACTGTCATCTAGAGCAGTAAAAGCTCTTAATTGTTGAGTCATCTCTCTAGCCTCAGTGATAGGGTGTTTTGATAGTTAGGTTTGTTTCATAATTTTTATATTGTGCATGAGAATTCCTGGAAAGACGCTGTGTCTGCGAAGGCTACAGAACAACGGTGATGTAAAGGTTGGAATGTTACAGGTCTTGAGGGTAATTACAACTTACCTTGGGCTAGCTTTAGCCCCCTAAATAGCCATTTCTTGCCCACCCCTGTGCCAGACCT